GGTCGAGCCGGTTCCTGCCCCATGCCTCAGCCTCCCACGACGGCTGCCTCTGCCCTGCTCCAGGCTGTCGGGACTGCGGCCTCTGCCTCGCTGCCGCAAGTGCCGGCCCCGCTCTCAGGACGGCCTTCGCTGGCCAGCAGCCCAAGCTTTGCTCGCCGCGCTCGGCAGGGCAGGAGTGTCTGGCAGCGTCCTGGCGGCATGCCCAGGTCTCGCGGGGTCGCCTCCTGACTCCGACCGTCCGCCCTGAGTGCCATGTTGGCTGAGTGCCAGGGCCCGGGGTGGGGCAGACAGCGCCCGTGCCCGCCGGCGTCTCTGCTGCCTTGCCCCGTCTCCCATGCTCATGCTCACCCTGCTCTCGAGGCCGCTCTGTCCCCAGGCGTCCTTGTCACCAGGTGGTCTTTCTAGGTAGCTGGGAGCACTGTGGGGCCTGTGCATTCCCCCATCGGACAGCGGGAGCCGTCCTCCTTCCCAGTGGGAGCGGCTGGGGCCAACCCGCTCCCCTGCCCGTTGTCAGGGCTGCTGGGAGTATGAACTGGAGGCTCAGCTTGGACCCTGGTTCCGCAGCGTGACCATCTTGGGTGGCCCTTACCTGTCTTTCTTGCTGCCCTGGAATCTGCTTTTGCATTGGCAGTGCCTGTCTTCTGCCCAGGCAGTGGGTTCTTAGGTCGTAGTTCTCTTTGCAGGTAGCCACCACACCCCCTGGGGACAGCCTGTTCCAGGAAGGGTCAGAGCAGCAGGAGAGTGAGGTCAGAGGCTGAGTCCTGGTCCAGACCCTGCTGTGCCTCAGCCTCTCCGCCTTGTTGCTCGTCATCAGGCGACTGTGAGTGAGCCGAGACATGTGACAGGAGAGCCTGGACCTGCCAGGGGCCAGCGGGTACAGAAGGGCACCGGGGGACCCTGGGCGCCGTGGTCTGGTGGTGCTGCTGCGGCCACGCCTGAGGTCATCGCAGCCAAGGTGGTGGCCGTGGTTCTGAGTATTGATACTGTGTGGACCCTGGGTGTCCCAGGCTCCCCCGCACCTATGTCCAGACGTGGCTGTCTAGTGCAGGAGCCACGTGCCACTGTCGTAAGTTGAAATGGGCCCCGAGGGTCAAATGAGCGTGGATTTGGAAGACATGGTTTTAATAAAGTGTAGGCATGGTTAGAGCGAGGGCTCACTGCCACCCCCGGTGCACGCTGGCGTCGCCTCACCAGACCTCCGTGTCCGCACCCCTGAACGGGCCTTTGCTCCCAGCCTGAGGTGGCCTCGTGAGAATGAGGCGAACTCCATGGTTCTCTGGCGTGTCTTCTCCCCCCCGAGTTCTCACCTCCCTCCGGCCCCGCAACCTGTGCACCCCCTGCCCTGCACAGGGCAGGCCCCCGCCTCTGATGGCCACCCTCCCCGCAGGAGGAGCTGGAGCACCTGAACCAGGCCAGCGAGGAGATCAACCAGGTGGAGCTCCAGCTGGACGTGAGTGGTCTGCTGCCCTCGGTCGGGCTGCTCCTGGGGGCCTTGGCCACGCTGCCGTTCCCTGGTGGAGATGGTGGCTGGGGCCGACCCTCAGGCCTGCCTTCCCTCTGCCCTGTCCCTTTGCCAGGAGGCCAGGACCACCTATCGGAGGATCCTGCAGGAGTCTGCCCGGAAGCTCAACACGCAGGGCTCCCACCTGGGGAGCTGCATCGAGAAGGCCCGGCCCTACTACGAGGCTCGGCGGCTGGCTAAAGAGGTGCGCCAGGACCGCGCCGGCATCGGGGCACGCGGGGCCCTCAGACCCCGCTCCGCCCTAGCGTGAGGCAGGGCAGCAGACCCGCGGCCGAGCACCCCGCCGCCCAGGCTGCGTTCCCACTGCAGGCTCCGGCTCCTGGCCTGGTGGGGCTGCCCCCGTCCCGTCTCGCTGGTGTTGGTCTTTCCCTGCGAGGACCCGGGCAGCAGGTCGTCGCTGTGTCAGCCTCACACCCTCATGTGTCGTCCCTGCTGCTTCTGCAGGTGGCCCTCTGGCTCTTGTCCCTCTTCCTGTCATTGCTGACTACTTCCCTTTTTTATGCAAAGGATGTGTCTTTACCTTTAGAGACCCACGAAGGTAAGAAGGGAGCTGTGGCTCCAGATGCTGCCTGTGGCCTTTTGTACCTGGGAGCTGCTTTGATCCAGTATACGATAGCCAGATAGCCACGAGAGCCAGATAGCCACGAGACAGCTGCTTGGAAAGATGCGTTGGTTCCCAGGGCGGGGACATGCCCCCACACAGGCCACCTGGGGGCACGGGTGTTGGGACATGCCCCCATTCAGGCCCCACTGGAGCTAGTGGGGTCACGAGGGGACACACCCCCACGCAGGCCCCACTGGAGCACCCCAGGAGGCAGAGCCGCGGTGGGAAGCTGGCCCAGAGCCCATACTTGGGCACTGCGGGAGGAGGGCCTGGAGCAGGGTAGCCACGCTGGGTGAGTTCAGGGTTAGTCTAAGTAACCGTCAGCTGGTGCTGGTCTGTTGGGGGAGGGGGAGCTTGCTGTGTGAGGGTTAAAGGAGCGAGGTGGGATGGGTGGGCTTGCGTGTGAAAGGTGAGGGCAGGGCCTTGCTGGGTCGGCATGCGTGCCCCCCCTTGCAGCCCCCAGATGGCAACAGCATAAAATACAGGAATAGGAGTGGTCCGCCACAGCCAGCCAGGATCCATCAGGCGTGGCCCCACTACGGTGCGGCTGTGCAGACGGCTGTGCAGTCCCTGCTGTCGTGGCCCTGGGTTTCACCTGGGGCTACAGCAGCTTCCAGCCAGCCTTTGCAAGAGTGGGGGGAGGGAGGGGAAGGGGAGGAGAGAGAGGGAGGAGGGAAGGAAAGAGGAAGAGAGTGAGAGGGAGGGACTGAGGGAAGGAGGGAGGCAGTGCCCCCCTGGGCCCTGCCATACTGTGTCCTCCTGTCCTCCACCCCGTCAGGACCCAGCTGGGTGTGCACACACACATGCTGGCATGTTTTCCAGCCAGACTGGCCAGCCGTGTGAGCTCCAGCTCTTTCCATGTGCGGCTTGAAGCCCTCCACATCTCAGGGCCAGCTCCCACGCCATCGTCTTCAGGGTCTGGCTGGTGCCAGTCCCTGTGCTGTCAGCCTGGGTTTCCCACCTGTGCCGGGCTGGCGTGGCTGGGAGGGGCTCGCAAGCCGTGCTGTCCTCCAGCTTGCTCTCTGGCCCTAGCACCTTGGCCTCCGGAGCATACTCCCTGCAGGACTCGCTGACCACCTTCCAACTAAGGGGGGTGGATTTTCCCTCGTCCTCCCTGGAGTGAAGGCTGGTGGCCTTAGTGCTGGCCTCACACTGGGCGTGCCCCCACAGTGTCGCCTTTTAACGCCACACCTGTGCATGCATTTCTCCTAGTCCTGCTCTTGGGAAACGCTCTGAATGCCACCTCCTGGCTGGCTGTCCTCAGCCTGTTTGGACTAAGCTGATGTTGCAAGGGGCCGCCCCGTCTCGTCCCCGAGGGCCCCGGGGTGGCAGCGCAGTTCCGTCCTCACGGCCCTCTCCCTCAGGCCCAGCAGGAGACGCAGAAGGCCGCGCTGCGGTATGAGCGTGCCGTGAGCATGCACAACGCTGCCCGCGAGATGGTGTTTGTGGCCGAGCAGGGCGTCATGGCGGACAAGAACCGACTGGACCCCACGTGGCAGGAGATGCTCAACCACGCCACCTGCAAGGTGAGTGGCATGGCCTGCCTGCTCTTTGTCGCACCTCGCAGCTCTGTCCTCGGCACCACATCGACTGCCCTGTCTCCCCTGTGGTTCGTCTCTGCGGAGCCCGCTCCCCGTGCCCTCCCCATTTGGGCTCCGGCCCTGCCGTGCTCTGTCTGTCTCCGGCTCAGCCATCCCAGCTCTTCGCTGCCTCTGCTCCCAGGCCTGGGCCAATGCACAGTCCCCTGCCCGGAGCTCTGGACTCTGCGCCCACTGGGTTTTCCTGACTGTGTGGCGCCTCCATGTTCAGAAGCTTCCTCCTTCCTGCCTTAGCTCTGTGGGTGCCCCCTCCTCCGAGGCTCTGTTGTGCCTGTGCTCAGGGCCGTGTGGGGCAGCTCTGGCTCTGCCGGCTCTTGTCACCTTGGCTCGCGCAGGACGGGGCGCTCGCAGCAGGTCCGCCCCGACTCTGCACTCCTGGAAGCAGGGCAGGGGAGGGTGTTCCGTGGGCTCCAGGGCGAGGGCCAGGGAGCTCCTGGCTGGCCGTGGGGCCTGCCCTGCTCGGACTCTGCCTGCCTGTGGCCAAGGTGTTCACCTGGAGGGTGTGGGGCACTGCCGTGGCTCCCCTGGGCTCCCCGTGTCCTGACCCGAGCCCCAGCACAGACGGCTCCCCCAGGGCCACGGCTACCACACACACGTGAGGCACTCCGGCGCCCCTTCCTGCAGCAGCAGAGCTGAGGGCCAGGCGTGTGCCTGACCTGTGACCTCTGTCCAGGAGGCCTGGGCAGGCTGGGGTGGAGGGAGCCTCAAGGCCGGTGGGCTTGTGCTGTCCTCCTGTCGCAGGCTCGGTAGGTGGTGGGGTTCACAGAGGACCTTCCTGTCCAGGTCCCCCAGGGCAGCACTTGGTAGCAGCCTAGGGCACATGCCTGGGACAGAGGTGGGGTCCCTCTGAGTGACCTGTGCCCCCCCTCCACTCCGGTCTGGGCAGGTGAACGAGGCAGAGGAGGAGCGGCTCCGGGGCGAGAGAGAGCACCAGCGGGTGACCCGGCTGTGCCAGCAGGCAGAGGCGCGGGTCCAGGCCCTGCAGAAGACCCTCCGGCGGGCCATTGGCAAGAGCCGCCCCTACTTCGAGCTCAAGGCCCAGTTCAGCCAGATCCTGGAGGTATTGGTGGACCAAGAGCAGTAGGGGCAGTGTGGCTGGAGGGCGGGCAGGGCTGCTGGTCTCCCTGGAGCACCCTGGGGGATGGGCAAACCACGGCCCCGCCAGAGATACCGATGGGGCCAGTGCACTCTGAACAGCCAGCCGTGCAGGGCAGGGGGTGGGCTGGGGCCCCGCTTGCAGAGAAGATGGTGGGGGAAGAGAAGGGAGGTGAAGGGAAAGGCCGTAACCTGCGGGACCAGGGCGGGAAGAGCTTGCCAGATGGCCAGAGAGGGTCTGGAGGGGCTGGAACCAGGAAGACGCCCAGGGAGGGACACAGGAGGCCACAGTGAGAGCAGCGGGCCGCGGAGGAAGGGCAGCCGTGGGAGGGGGGAGCGGCGGTCTGGGCAGGAGTCCCCAGGTCCTGGCAGGTGCTGAGGGCACCCGTCTGACCTGCCCTCTGCAGGAACACAAAGCCAAAGTGACAGAGCTGGAGCAGCAGGTGGCTCAGGCCAAGACTCGCTACTCCGTGGCCCTGAGGAACCTGGAGCAGATCAGCGAGCAGATTCACGCGCGGCGCCGGGGCCTGCCCGCCCACGCCCTGGGCCCGCGGCGCTCCTCCCCGGTGGGGGCGGAAGCAGGGCCCGAGGGCGCTGAGGACACGGACAGCGGGATCGAGGGGGCCGAGGGTGGGGGGCTGGAGGAGGGCAGCAGCCTGGGTCCCGGCCCGGGCCCGGACACGGACACACTGAGCCTGCTGAGCCTGCGCACGGTGGCCTCAGACCTGCAGGGGGCCGTGGGGGGCGCCACCAGCGCAGCGTCAGCCTGTAGCCCCGCGGCCGCCGGCAAGACTCCACTGTGGCGAGGCGGGGCCCCCCCCCCCCCGGGGGCCGTGGGGGGCGCCACCAGCGCAGCGTCAGCCTGTAGCCCCGCGGCCGCCGGCAAGACTCCACTGTGGCGAGTCGGGTCCTCACCTCTCCTGGGGCCTGCCCTCCCCCACGCCGCACGTTTTCCTGGTAGAGGCCCGCGTGTCGATGACCCTAGGATCCCCGCTTCTCGGCCTCCACTCCTCCCCGGGCAGGCAGTCCTGGCCTTTTCTCACGCCCGGCTTTCCTCCTGACCTCCACCCCACTCTGCCTCTCAGGGGCTTGGTCTGGAGGCACCGGGAAGCCCCTCAGAGAAGGGGATGCTGGGTCCGAGTCAGTCCTCTTGGTCTGGCGGGTCCTCTCGCCCAGGGCAGGGCCCAAGTTTGGCTCAGAGCCTCACCTGGTCTTGCCCTGCCTGCTGGGGGGTACCCCAAGGAGTCCCGTGCCTCTGGAGGACACAGCCTTTCCCTTGGCTACCCGCCCGCTGGCCCGAGTTGCTCGGCGTTTGCCCCAGAGCAGCCCTCGATCTTGCAGGGTGCTGGTGTCAGCGCATGGGACCTGCCCCAGCGGGGTGGGCTCTTGCCGTTGCAGGGGCAGGTGCTGGGGTGCCTGCGGGGAAGCTGCGCTGAGGTCCTGAGGCTGAGGCCCTCCTGGGGGTGAGGGAACCTGGTGCTCCATCGCTCTCCCTTTTCCCCAAACCAAACGGTACCTGCTCCAGGGTCCTGGGCTTGTGGTCGCCCTGTCTTTCCTGGTATGGAGAGGGGTCTGCCCGGGCTGAGGGGCCCACCCTCCCTAGGGAGCGCCTGTGTGCTTGGCGGTTTCCCAGGGTGTGTGCCTGAGGCCTCGCCAGCTCCGGGAAGGCGGCGTGCTGGTGGGCGTCTGACAGGGCAGAGGGCAGCAGGGCTCAGGGCTCCGTCCTGCTGAGGGAGGCTGGTCAGGGTGAGAACCGCAGGGTTGGAGGTGGCCACTCAGGAGAGGGAGGGGACGTGTGTGGGCCAGTGCGTGTGGGAGAGGGTCTGCCTGGTCTTATTTAAATAAAGTAGTTTATGTAACAGTGACCTTTCTGTCCCTGCTGGAGGGAGGCAGGGTAGGGGAGGGAAGGGCGGCAGGGGTGAAGCACCAGAGGGAGCATGCTGTGGGGGGCAGAGGAGTGCATGCTTTTGAGGGAGGGCCCACGGCTGGGTGACCTTGTGTACGGTGGGTGTCCACACGTGCAGAGCGAGTGTTCACACATGTAGTGCAGGTATACACACGTGTGCAGGGCAGGGGTCCACATGTGTGTAGGGTGGGTGTTCACATGTATGCAGGTCAGGTGTTCACATGTGCAGGGTGGGTGTCTACACGTGTGCAGGGCGGGTATCCACATGGGTGCAGGGCGGGTGTCCACATGGGTGCAGGGCGGGTGTCCACACGCCCAGGGAGCCCGTGCCATGGGGCTGTGCTGTGGGAGGGGTGGGTGCTGGAGGGCTTGGTGTGGGGCTGTGCAGGGGGAGTCCGTGCTGTCTGAGCAGGAGACACAAGTGCTGTAGGGCTCGTCCTGCCGTCAGTGTGAGCGTGGACGGATGGGCAGGAGGCCAGTTTAACAAGTGAGTACGTGGTGCCTGTTCCTGAATTTCAGATGAACGAGTTTTGTTCTGACATTCAGGGCCTGCCGTTCTGCAGTCAGGTGGTTTTCTCGCTGTGCAAACGTCCTGGTGTACAGAAGGCAGACGGGGGTTCCTGGCCTGCAGGCCTGGGCCGGAGTGCACCTGCGGCTCCAGGTGCGTCTGCACCATGTTGCCGTGCTGACCATGTAGGCGGTGGTGTCCAGGGGGAGGATCTGTACTTCCGAACACCAGGTACAGTGGACTGGAGTATAAGATGAGAGCTCACAGTGAGCGCCTTGCAGGGCTGGAGCACTTCAACTTGCTACAAACTTGCTACAGGGCATGTGCATTCATCAGAGACAGAAGAGGAAAATGAGAAAGCAAGCCTCCAGGTCTGGGACTTGAACCAGTCAGCCATGTGGGAGTGCAGCACTTCATCCACCATGCCACCTGCTGGCCCCTTATTTACATTTTGTGATCGAGCAGCTGTAGTGCTCCCTCATGGACTGACCCGCAGAGAAAGGTGGTCACAGGGAGCTCTTAGGGGTCTGTTCCTCAAAGTGTGGGCGAAGCTGCCTCTGGACCCTCCCATGGTGTGAGGAGGGCGTAGACATCAAGCATTTCCACCTCCTTAAGCCTCTGACCCACTCCTCCAAGGTAAGCCAAGGGAGCTGGGGCGACCCACTCCTCCACGGTAAGCCAAGGGAGCTGGGGCGGCTTCCCCTCACCCTCGGTGCACCTGAGCTGGGGCGGCTTCCCTCACCCTCGGTGCACCTGAGCTGGCCAGACCAGCAGCACTTGGTCTGGGCTGAGCCGGAAGCGCAGGCCGCTCGGTGGGCGCGCAGCAGAGCAGCCTGTACCTCAGATCTTTCCCACACGTGCCCCCCAGGGTTCTGCCTATGTAATTAGGGAACTCAGGTAGCCCTTACTATTTTTTAGATTTCCATAGTGTACCTGCACGCTCCAGAGAGGGAGGGGAATGTGTCCTTGGTGGGGCATGGTCTCACCACAGTCCCTTCTCCATCCTGTTGGATTCGGGGCACCACACATAAGTGCCTGGCATTCTACAGCTGCTGAGGTTGGGGTGCCAGCCATGGGCGGCTGGGTGGAGTCGCTCCTCCAGGCCCCGGGGCGGCCCCCACCAGGCTCTTTGAGAGGGCATGCAGCACAAGGCTCCTGCGGGGCAGGGTGGGTCGCAGGTATTTGGCACCTCACCTTTGGGGCCTGCTGAGACTTGAGTCAGGTAGCAAGTGTGGAAGCAGCTCGGGTGGTGGGCGGGTTTGGAGGACAGTCACATGGTGGGTGTGGGAGCAGCCATTAGTGTTTCTCAGGCGAAGCAGTTAGCCCCCTGGGACAGAGCTGGGCAGATAGCACTAGGGTAGGGGACTCAGGTGCCCGTGGGAGTGGAAGGCCATACTGGGATGTGGGAGACCACTTCTGGGCAAGGCTCCAGGTCCAGGGGCCAGACCCTCCGTGTCCGACTCGGTTCGACCTCTGGCCCTGGTCTG